CCCCATAATGGGTATAGCCTCGTGTATAATGGGGGTTAGAAGGTTTTCTTCTGAAATTATTTCCTTTTTGAGGTTTGTCCAGCTTCCTATAGTTCTTAGGAGGGACTACCTTTTTGGAAACTTCTGTTGGTTTTTCCTTTTCCTTCCCTTTCTGCTTATTTGGTTTAGCAGTAGGTTTAGGAGGGATGAAAGTTGTTTTCCCTTTCCTTTTAGAGCTAGAGGAGTCAAACCCAAGTCCTTCACGACCCTTATGTTTGGTCGTTTCAAGAAGCTTATCCACTGCCTCTTTTGACTTAAGAGTCCCTAGTTCTTTGTTAAGGGATTTCACCTTTTCAGAGAGAGATTCATTTTCAGTCTTGAGTTGAGTGATCTCATTCAGTTGACTTTTCCGACCTTCAGTCAACTTGAGATTCTCTTCACTCAATAGTTTGTTCTCCTCTGTTAAGGAAGAATGTTTGAGATTTATCTCCTCAAAGTCTTTCATCATCTTTTTGAACTGGTCAAAAAGATTTTCAGAAGTTGGTATGCTTTCATAAGAAGATGAGCAGGAGGTTTGTGAGGTTACCTCTTGATCAGCATCATCTTTGGCCATTAGGCACAGAGTGTCATCCTCTGACATGGTCCACCTATCCTCATGGTTGGACTTTTCAGCTCTGCGCTCCATGCAGACGAGAGCTTCTTCATCCGAGCTTGAGATGGATGACTCGTCACTTTCAGCAGCAACCATTGCCTTCTTTTTCTTCTCGTTCCTTTCTCTTTCTCCGTACTTCTCCACTTTTGGGTACGGGCACGCTGACTTCCAGTGGCAAGGCTTCCTGCAGTTGTAACACAAATAAGATTCAGGAGGAGAGTCACTTACCTGTGGCTTTCCCTTGGATGGCCTTCTGACTGAGTCAGCTTTCTTGAAGAACTTTTTGAACTTCCGGAATTGCTTGACCATCATGGCAAATTCCTCATCGTAGTTCTCCATTTTTGAACTTGACGGCTGGCTGGAGGAGGGTGTGTCAAAGTTTCTTGGGCATGTCCCTTCACTTGATGAGACTCTTGGAGTTGTCATCACTGCCGTGGGGAAGGGAGTGACTTGTTCTTCCTTCTTCTTCTTCAGCTCGTGCTCATAGGTTCTGAGCTCATCAAGAAGACCTTGAACAGTGTAGTTCTCCAGATTTCTTCCTTCTTCCATGGCTGTGGCTTTAGTGTACCACTCAGTTGGAAGAGATCTTAGCAACCTTACATTCTTTTCTTTAGGAGAAAGAACATGGTTAAGTGATGCAAGATCATTCAAGATTTTGTGGAATCTTTCATCCAGCATATCAAATGATTCTCCGGGAAGCATTTTGAAGCTTTTGAACTTCTCAAGCAGGACTTCAATCTTCTGCTTTCTCAAGTCCTCTGAACCCTCACATAGCTTCCCAAGACCTTGCCATATCTCCATGGCAGTCTTGAGGTGCTTAATTTTGGAGAAGGTGATGGGGTCAAGTGTCTTGAAGATGGCTGCTTTGGCGACGTTATCCAGATTGTGCCTTTTGCAATCTCTATCATCCCATTTTTCCTTGGGCTTTGGAATGTACTGGACTACGTCTGGAGTTGCTGGATTCCTCTCAGGATTCTCCATTTGAATTTTCAAGGGTCCATTCTCAAGCACCATCCACATGCAATCATGTAGAGCGTAGAGGTGTGCTTCCATCATGATCTTCCAATCATCATAACCTAGAAGAGAAAACTTGGGCAACCCGTGATCCATATTGTTCACCATTTTGATCGCTTCTCGTTAATCTAAACGTAGATAGTGAGAAGACTGCTCCGATACCAATTGGTGGTCCCAAAGTGGTGAAATACAAAGTCTAGAGGGGGGG